CCCCAAAACCCCAAAACCCCAAAACCCCAAAACCCCAAAACCCCACATAGCTATACTAAGCTTGAAGTGGGACATGACAAAGTATTGAAGGAATGGCCTGAAAAATTACTCCAAAACAAAATTGGGATGCTTTTAACCAGGCTACAGCTGATTTCAAATTCTGATCAGCCTTCTGACCTAAAAGACTTATTCTTCTTTTGTAAGGTTTTCAGGCACATTTTTAGAAAAGGAAATTTTTATGTACCTACCATCGATGTTGTAGTTATGGAATGCAATAATGACTTCTATAGCAGTGCTGATAGAATCAAACTCTGCGTGAGCCATGATCTTCTCTGCAACATCGAAAAATTTTATTTTCTCAAAATTTGAGACAGTAGAGAATACACTCTGAAGCCTTACTTCATCAATCTCCTTAGGAAGGTTGGAAAGATGCAGGACTTTAGAGGGAGGAGCGATGTTCTGGAAATTTCTACTCCCAGCAATTTTGTATCTATGCTCCTTAGAACGAGAGAAATCTTGGGCAAGCATCCTCTCTTCAGATTCCATCTTGGTTCCTTTCTTAGGCATGATGATAAAGCTTGACTTTGAAGCGTTAACTTTGATAACTTTACCACCGAACTGGCACCCATTGAGGTATAATTTAGCTAATTTGGCCTGATAACAGTCCATGAATTGGATGAGAGCAGTATCTCTCTTCTTGAACATTATCTTAATTCTGGTAACGTTGCCGTACAATGAGAACAATCTGAAAATCTTATAAGGAGTGACGTCTAAAGGAAACCCAGAAGCGATCAGAATATTCGATTCCTTCTTTTTCTTGCCCATGCTAGTCTGTTCTTCCAGAGAAGGGATATTTTCAGGGCTCTGAACTTTAGCAGGTGGGTAAGTTTCACCTGGAGGAGCAAACCCGTGATCATAATTTTGATAATACAGGTTCTGAAATTCATTCTGAACTGTTCCATATTCTTGCCCATACTGAGGATACTGCTGGAAGTATGGGAAATAGGAGCTATTTTCTATAAAGCCATTATTTAAACCAACCTTGATAGATTTTTATCAGATATTTGGTGAAATAACCAAAAAGAAAGCTACACATTAGTTAAATTTCAGTTTAGGAAAAGTAGTTTGAAATGCCAGAATAGAAAAATGTAAAGGAGGTTATCAGAAAGGAAATTTTACCTTCAAAGGGGTGTCTAGTCCCGTTGTAATCAGTATGGTAACTGTTAAATTCAGTATTGCTCTTCGCGAATTCATTGTAATTTCCTTCTGATGGCTCGCTGTTGGAGTAGTTTATAAGGCTATAATCAGCCCTATGAACACTATTTAATTGAAATGGGCTGTTTTGCCATCAATTATTTTCAAAGCTGGTCTGAACTCAACTTGGCTCAACATGCTGACGAGCGTCAGACATAGTGGCAGATAAGGAAAGTTGGGCTCCAATGAAGAGATTTAGGTTTCGAGAACCTCGGATTCATTCTTCAGCCGACTCATTATTTTCAAACTGAATCCACGCTCAGTTATTTGTATGGTCAATGTTAATATTATTAATTTTTCCAAAAAGTTCTCAGGCCAAATGAATGTCTTGTTCTTTTGTAATTTGAGGTAGTCTGTCAACTCTAACAACTGTGTACTTTGGAACTTCATAGCTCTTGGACTCCTCCCTAATACCTCCTAAAGGAAAGGAAAAATCTTTGGTCACATCTTGCTCTTCAGTATCACTATTTTCAGGCGAATCCAAAATATCCAAAAACCTGGAAGCCTCTTCAGCCTGAGCTTCCTTCAGAGGCGTATAAGCAGGGTCATCGAGCTTTATGCTTTCCATAAATTCTGTGGGTTTGAAACAGTCCATTTTATCCCAAAATTTAATATAAAGCAGTTCAAATAGTTTTAGTCCTTATGGGGTTTTGGGGTTTTGGGGTTTTGGGGTTTTGGGGTTTTGGGGTTTTGGGG